GTTAAGATGCACAACACTCATTCAAGAAAATTATTATTGGAAAAAGGTGACAGCTTAAAGTTCTAAAAGTAGCCTTGTTGTGCTCCCATGCATAGGTTGCCATAGCTACAGCTTCTGCATAAAAGCAAAGTGTTGGACTTATTTAAAGAAGGGGGAAAACTCTACCTCTTGCCATTTTAACCACGATGTTCCAAGACATCTTGGCTCAAAACAAATGCAACTGTGAATGCAGGACCAAAGAAGAGTTTAAATTTGACAGTCAACAGGAATTTCCTTCTCTTCTTATACAGAGACCATGCAAATTTGCCCCAAGGAGGAAAACGAAGGGCAGAATAACATCCTAAAATGTCATTATGCTATTTATTTTACCTTTCTATTCGGTTATTTTAATAATCTGCATCACTGACCCAAAGCATCAGGAGCAACTACGTTTTAGAAAGCTGTAAAGGTTAACTGAAACATTATCAAAATATTTTGGTATGATCAATGTCTGAAAGCAGATGTGTTTAGTTTAAAATAATTAAGATGAAATTAAGTTATTAATGCAAAGTATCAAGGGAAAATGATTCTTTCATTTATTCCAGAGTTAAATTGTCCTCTTTAAGCCAAAGTTTAGTACTGTGAACTTAGTTCACAAGCTTAGCTACCTCTGAAAATAAAAGACTCTTAGAAGCACATGGAAGGCAAGGAAGTTATATAAATACATTTCCAGAGCTGACTTACAAAGAGTAACTGTATCACTACTGCTGTGATCCATAGTTGCCCATTAACGGCTAGATGCTGCCCTGATTCAGCATCCCTTGGACCTTGACAGAAAGCTATCAAAGACTTCTTTTCATCTGTAAGGACGTTCAGAACAGACTGCAGCAGCTGAGAGAGATTAAGGGATTTCAGCTGAGGTTACAGTTTGCAAAATGTAGCTCTGTGAACTTCATCATTCAAGAGCAATAAGCATTTATTCATAGCATTATGACAATTTCAAGATTAATGAGCTGAGTACAGCATGAGCTTTATAGTAAGGTTACAGCCTTCTACACATTGTTTACCTAGTGCTATTACATATATTTTGGAACTAATTTAAAAGATGCCAATTGCACAATATGTAACTGTGCTAATTAGAAATGAAAATATAAGAAATTAACAGTAAGAAGAATGATTTTATCTGAAGAATAAGAGGCTTTTTATTTAGGATAGAAAAATGGACTTCTCTCCACCCTTACCATAACGTTTTGCAAAGGATAAACATCACTCTTACCCTATACTTGATCCTAGCCAAATGGTCATACAGTACTCTTACTAACATTTATAATAATGCTCTTATTTTTAAGATCTATGAAAAAAAATGAAATGATTAATAACTTTAGTTAAATATCTTCTACCAAAAAGGGTAGAGATAATCCAAAGGAACATGTTTTATTTATAGCACATTTGTGCCTACTTAAACCTTAAGATCAACATTTGAAATTTTACGGAAGGATCACACAGGCATTGAGACATGGGAGTTACTCAGTTTTCCATAAATGATCTTCAAAAGGATTTTTAACAAGTAATATTATGTGGTATACATATGATTATTTTTGCAATCTTAGACATTTTATGTTCTGTTTTATGTTATATTTTTATGGTTTATATTATACTTGTGTGTATCTGTGTCTGTTCCAGACTAACACCCTCTCCCAAAACCAGCTACTTATGACCTGATTCCAAAGTTATTATATATGCTTCTTCATATACGGTCACATGACTATATTTTGAGTCCTTAGCAACTGACCACATTTACAGCTGTTTGCTGTGTTCTGCAGTCACACAAACATGATTTATTATGGGAACCAGTATTCACTTCCCATTTACAGAAAAAAAAACATGATGACTTGCTTTGTGACTGTCGTGACTTATGACTATAATTATCTGGTTCAATTAGTCATAAATGGATGACACCTGCAATTATTATTCTGAAAGAGTTTTGCACAATTTCTGGAACATGGTGGTTTGTTTGGGTTTTGAAATAAAACAATCTTTTCAACGTTATGAATAAATATGCAGGGTTTAATACAATACACATTATAAAGCCTGCATGATTTCATTTACTTGCCATTGTATGAATCTTTAATAATGATAAATACCAAGGACTTCACAAGTTCTAATTCTTATTCTGAATTAGAAACAAAAATTATTAGGTTAGATGTAGGTATTCCCAATTTATGTGCTCAAAAAATATCCTTCATTTAAAGTAACATTAATGTAATATAATTACAATTCAAAATCATCATAAAACATAAAGTTACAACAAAATTAATAAAATATGAAGAGGGTGGCAAAAAAAAAAACACCTAAAAATGGTCCATGCAATAATACATCAGATGTCAGCAATATCCATATATGAAATAAAAAGACATGTTTTCTTGATGATTTAATCTATATAAAGCTCACTTCAGGACTACTGACTGAATAAGAAGGACAGCATGTTAATGAAAATAATTCAGTGTTTCCTTTTCAACTAAGCAATTATAGCATTTGGTGATTATTTACTTAGAAGTACTTACTAGAGTGGAAACAAAAGAAAGGAAATGTAGACAACAGTACTAGGGATAACTTAGCCTCCCTCATTATTGCAGGATCACATTACAAAGCCCTTGGCATTATGCCTCTATTTTTTACATACAGATACACATCCCTATTATAAGAATGTTTTCTAATTCCAGATGTGTTTGGCTCTCGCTCTCAAGAATTCAGTTGGATTTGCTGAGTGGGCATATTGAAAGCTGTCCTCTAACAAATCTTTTAAGTCATTGTACAGATATTATGGAGCTACTTATGAATCAATATACACATTTATTCAATAAACATGTTTGCAGTAAGAGGCAAACTTTCTGTAATCCAGTGTTGTTCATTTCTCCATACACCACCCATGTTGCAAATATCTGCTACAACAATGGGAACTGTAACAATATTTCTAAAATTTCTAAATGTCTTTATTCTATTACAAGTAAAACAAAACAAGATGATATTTCTGAATCAGAAATATTGTCTTAAGGATGATCAAGTTATAAAACAAAATCACAATGTTATTGTCTCATAGCTGACAAATATCACTAGAAAGTTCAAATAGATCAATTCCACTAAGTCCGTTATAAAATGAGTTTTACAAATTTCAAAAGCACAAAAAAGCACTATATTAACATTCAAACATAAATTTGGGGGGAAAGTATTGAGTATTATCACAATGCCCTTAAATTCATTACAAAACACCTCACTAGTGTGACATAGATGTCACTCATGGTCTTGATGACATAAAGTTCATATTTATATCTCAAGCAAATATAAATTATTTCTTTATAAGTCAGCTTAATGAATAATTTGTATCTTAATCATGTTGAGTTTTTTGAGATTTAATAGCTGACCTGCAGGATGTATTTCCCCTCCAAAAGACATTAATTTAATTACAAAGGCGTTCAAGTGCTACTGAAAGATTGAACAAAAAACTCAAATATATTTTGAAATCACAAAATCTTCAGGTTTTCTACTGCTATCTCAGAGATTTATATTTTATTTTGGCACTATGTATACATATTAGCATTTTTAATTAAGATTTTCCTTTTGTGAATGGAAGAACGAACATTCATATTGAAGAAAAGAAATAGCTGAATCCAACCATACTTAAGACAGACTATTAGAATACACTGTTCTAAATTGTTAAAGGGATTAAGGTATTTCTATGCTAGTTAGCTGATGTCTAGGTAAAATAATCATATCTCTTTATCTGAAGTTGTAAAATGATAATGAGGTATTTTCTTATCAGAATGCTCCTTCCCTTATCATCAGGGCAAGACTAATTAAAAACTTTATAATATAGCTCAACATAAGAGTTATTTTATTCTTATATTTTTGTTAAAGCGAACTATTTATTTACAAATCAATGCCTTGACCCTTTCAGTGTTTTTTTTAATGATGTTTCTTTTTCAAGTGGATTACTGCAGAGTTTAAATATAATTTGTGTGTACAAATTGTCTCTGTATGGTTCTGTGTGGCTTTCATATAGATCTTTCAAGAATATTAACTATCTTACAATATAGGAATTTCACAATGATCAACTAAGCTGTTCATTTACAAATTAGTAGCCCTGTTGGTAGAGCAAATCAATTTGTAGACCCAAATGTTTTTATAAATAAAAGTGAAGACTAAAATAAGTGTTCAGATTAAAGTTATGAAGTGAACATGAGATCCCAGGAGGTGCTATATTTAGTTAACTTAACTATTCTGCCAATTGAACAAAGATGGTTCTGGTTGAATTAGATCAGGGATCTCCAAACTTGGCAACTTTGAGACTTGTGGACTTCAACTCCCAGAATTCCCAGGCTGGTCTGGGAGTTGAAGTCCACAAGTCTTAAAGTTGCCAAGTTTGGAGACCTCTGAATTAGATGTACTAAATAGGTTTGGAAGCAATAAGCTGTTTGAATTCAAACATTTTACAGACTACTGCGTTAATAAAACACAGTTGACAAATATATGTCTATGATAACTATAGGTACATCATTCCAAGATAAATCTTTCTGTTTTCTAATGTTTAAAATACTACTGAAATTAAAAACTGATTTCCAGAGCTGTTAACTGATACTATGAAAGATCATGGTTCAATTACAGATTTATACTTTTGTCTCTCTGGCTGTGTTAATTCCTCCCCATTCTCATATAACGCTCCACAATAAATCCCTCTGAGTCCATTACAACTTCTGCTTTACACTGCTGAATTATACCAACAATCTTCTTGATATTTTAGCAGATGTTCTGCATTTGGGCCTTTGAGACCTTTATTAGGTCCATTTCCTTTTCAACCTAAAAAAGACACGCATTTATTCTCAGATTGGTGCATATTTCACATTGGCCCAAGTCCAAACATCTATACACATGACTTTGAATAAAGAATTCTCATCATGAAGTTCAGGGCCAAGGCAATTCTTATATTATTCTTTTTAAAAAAGAAGTCTTAATTCAAAACTTACCTCAGTAACATCCATGACTTTAATAGCTGCCAACTGACCTGTCTTGACATGTCGACCCTAATAAAAAATAGAAATAATTTTTAGACTTCACATTATTAATTATATCAAATTATATCAAATCACTAGCAGCTCATTGTTTCACAGAATATATATTTCATTCAAAATATTACAAGCAAAAAAAATGTAGATTTAAACATAAAAATAATTCAACACTCTGGCTTTTAAGAGAACTGCCAAACTATATTCTTCAATTGATATTGTAGGCAAACATAGTGCTCAGCCTTTGGTCAATTATTTTTTTGGGAAAACAAGGCAGGCTGTAGTGTCTGCAGGTGGAGGGAGAATTCTGTCATTCTGGTGCATTCTTCTTGCACGTGTGTCATCATTAGGTTCAAAAGAACACATTAAGGCCTCACTATACAGCTTTATAACCCCCAAACAATCTAAAAGTAAAGTATGAGTTTACATAAATACATTTACAGGTAGTCCTCAATTTATGACGGTCACTTAACAAAAGTTTGAAGTTATGACAGATTCTCCCCAAATTTTTAACAACCCAGTTTCAAACTTACAACACACATATACACACACTCCTGCAGTCACGTGACTGCATTTTAGACACTTAGCTTGTCTTTATGGTTGTTTTAGTGTCTTGTGATCACCTGACCATGATTTATGGGTTGTTGTTTTTTGCCATTTTTCAGGATTTATTTCCAGTTTCTGACAAAAAAATCCCCTTGTAGAAAATCAATTTGCTTAATGACCGGAGTGTTTGCTTAATTACCACAGTGTTGACTTAACAACTACTGCAAAAAATGTGAAAAAAATCAGGTCCAGTCATGTGATGCCTTGACTTACAACTCTAATAACATGACGGTAATTCTGGGCTCAGTTACAGTTGTAAGTTGAGAACTACCTATATGTCTTGTAAATGAGGGCATCCTGAATATATCTCTTTAGTAAACCAACAAGGAGTTCTCATTTTTTCTAATTCAAAATTTATTATAAAGTAAAATTTAATAATCCACATTAATGTTAAAATGAGCCCTCAAATGACATTTGTTTCCTTTGAATGTTAAACCATTACAGAAAAACAAAAATAATTTTTTGTGAAAGTAGTGATTTTGTCCACTTCTTTGGACCAGTTTGAACCTCTTCTTTATTCTGAACTCTTAACAGTGACTTCAATATGCAAAAGACCAGAGTGCAGAGATAAGGTATCTGTTTGAATAATGATAGTAAACCCACACATTCAAACTTTGATGATGTAATTTCCTAGGCAATTATTTGAAAAGATGTGATTTTGATGAAAAGCAAGTATTTGGTGCCTTTCATTTCTCTGCAAAGTATTTCTACAGTCAACAGAAATAATATGAATCACAGAAGACAGCACGGAAAAGCACAATTGGCTTTGCAATCCACTTTAGGAAACAGGATGCTGAATTAAGTATGATCAGTCTTCTCCAATTTAAGGACTTAAAGGTACACTGCTGCTATTATTTTCAGACCAGGAAGGCTGAGCCAGTCATTTTCTTTGGTACACATTAAGTTCATGCTTTTAAAAGTGTTTAATTGGCAACAAAGAATCAAAAGGACATTTTTGGCAATTTCCAATAAGTAAATTGGGCACAGAAGAACTGTCTTTGAAACTACAGCCATAGCTTTCAAGACTTAAGAGGGAAATTCTTTTTCTTTCTCTTTGCTGGAAAACCTAATAGGGAAGACAGTCCAAGTAACCCTTGCTGACTGGGTCATTTAGTTCCCAGAGTGATTCCTATGTCTTTCATTTTACTGCAGGAAGTAAAGTGACAGGAAGGCCAAGAGTGATTCATGTTCTCTTAACCTACCACCAGTGAATGGGAACATGTAATAGAGTCGTTCAATTTTCAAGAAAGCATTGGACAAAGGATTCACCAACAACAGGTTTTCCTTCTTTATTTGTGCTACTCAATCTGTTCACTATTTCATTTAATTTTAAAACAATGTACAGTATTTTAAAAATTGGGTAAGTGAAGGCTTTTAGATAACCAGACATGAAGAGTACTGAAAAACAGACATCTCTTCAGAGCTTTTGCTCAAGATTATCCCTACCTTATGCTCCCACCCTTAAGTCTGATTACAATCAGAAGACATTCCTCCTTGGGGGATGGACAAGTAAAACCGAGCAGTTTCAAAGGTCCCGAGGCTCCAGATATAAGCCGCAAAAGTGCACTGAGGCAATTTTCATTCTCATTCCCTTAAGGAAAGGCCTACATTTCCTTTGCTTTCCCAGTCAAGGCAGGAAAATATTTTTGAAGCTGTAGAATGGGAAGTTAAGACTGTGGGAAAGGAAGTGCAATACTCAACGTATCTCAGTTCAAACAAATGCTTTATGTTAGAGGCTCCAAAATATTTCAGCACAGCATATTGCAGCATAGCATGTGTTTAAATGTCTGACTACTTAAGGGAGTCCTACAACTTTAAAAAGAATAGTTTCTGCAATGTTTCAAACTACTGTATTAATTAAAGAACACAGGAGTCCATTTGCCCTTGCCAGGCAACCAGTGGACACAAAAGACTTCCTATTTAAATGTAAATATAAACCAAGACGTGACTGTCTTAATTTACTAAAATCCATGTGAAATTACTCCTGAAAGTCAATAAACAGTTCTTTATCTTTGGAAGAAAGACTCTCGTATCTTGTGTGCTGCCCATCTCTACTAATTGCATATGTCTTATTCCACACTGCTTTAATTATAATATTTTCATCATTATATTACCATTGTGTTTTACCTCTCTTCAACAGCAAAATGACAAATCAGAAGTCTACTGAAGAATTATTGGAGTTGAAGTTCAACAAGAATATAAGTTATCCATTCCCATTGTGGGATTAATTTCTTTTAGCAGAAGTGGAACAAATCCAAGATTCAAACACAAAGCCTACTGACAACCTAACATAAATGGATCCTTAGAAGAAGCCAAAATCTTGCAGACAGTGAACTTATACTAAAGGGTTTACAGAAGTTAACAAGTTTAGGGTAAGAAAATAAAATCAAGTAATACCATATAGATACATACTGATAAGCAGATGGTAAAAAGATGTAGAACTCAAGCAAAAAAAACACAGAATCATACACCCAGTTCTCAGCCTACTGTTACTAAACAGCAATGCTTTTGTGCAAAATTAGATTTTCCATAATGTGACTTACTTAACTAGATACTGATATCCTAAAAGGCAAAATTTAAGTTCCTACTATATCATTATGATGCTAAAATAAGATAACAGTTTGCTTTTAGGCAAACTGTTGTAATACTGTGACTTCTTCAACTACTTCCTTATGTTGTTCCCATTAAACTTAATACAGAACAAGCACCTCCCTTACTTCACTCATCTATGTTTCCCTTACTCAGTTCTTTAAAATTATATTTATTATTGTCTCTGTACTACAAACCACACAGGCAATAGCTTGGAGAGCTTTAAATGGGAATGTACACAGATCCACAATTTATAGCAGATCCTATGAAAATCAATAGAACCTACACTGATTACTTATTTCACCAGTCCTTTCACATTAACTTGTCTGTTTTTATAACATTTAGTCTCCAATTCATTCCTGTTAATTCAAATCCCATCACACAATTACAATTTCCCACCTGGTTCTAGGTATTACAGACTCAATGGATTGGTTGGGTTGGTGTGATTATGAAATCTGTCCTTATTTAGGGCAATAATGTGAAATAGTTTTTGGTTAGAGATATACTTTTGTTGAGCTGATGACAGTGTATATTCCCAGCTCAGCTATTACTTCAAGTTCTTTCAATGACGCCTGTACATAATAAGATAAAATAATAAGCCTTGCTTACTTCATTTTTCAACTGAAACCTACACAGAAAGGTTTTTTTTTGCTTGAAATCTAATAAGTCTGAAGAATAGGAAGGAACAAATATTTTAATATTGTTTTTTGTATTATTTTATGATTCAAGAAAAACCATAACTCAAAATTTATGCTTCCTATGCAAAAAGGCCTAGGTCAATCACCAGAAGATCTACTTAAAATTGTAAATGCCTTTGTCTGAAATCTGGGAAAGGTCTAAATAACATAGTGAGCTAGAACAACCAAAAGACTTTTTGTACACAGCTGTTTCCAATATTCTGTTGCATACTAGAAAATGAATATCATAAATATCATCCTTGCTTATACAACAAAACTTGTTTATATAAAACATTATGTATCTAAAAGCAACATTGCAGAAGCCTCCTAAAACTCATAAGCTTTCTTGATTCAGTATACAGAATTGAAAAGAGCCTTTGTAATTTCGCTCATTAACAGACCTAGAAAAACAATAATACATTGAGGAAGAATCCATAAATCATGGCCTGTTTATATTTTTATTTGGATCACTGACTGAATTGGGGGATGGGGGTGGAGGAAGAGAGAGATCTTCCTGATTTAAGGATTGTAAATTCAACTGTAAAATAATAAGGGGTGAGAAAAATCAGGAAGGTGTCTCTCCCACCAACGCACCCAATTCAGTCAGTTTTTGCAACATTATTGTTACCCAGTGTAGTAAGGCACCTAATCAGAGATGGTATTCAGCAGGTTCTGACCAGTTCTGGAGAACTGGTAGTGGAAATTTTGAGTAGTTTGGAGAACCAGCAAATACCACCTTGACTGGCCCCGCTCCCATCTATTCTCTGTGTCCAGAGTCCCAGCTGATTGGCTGGGTCTTCTTGGTTGCCCTGCACAGGAGAACGGAGCTGGAAAGCAGGTTAGTGGGGTGGGGAGGAAATAGGGATTTTATAGTATCCTTCCCCTGCCACGCCCACCAAGCCATGCCACACCCACCAAGCCACGCCCACAGAACCAGTAGTAAAAAAAATTGAACCCCACCGCTGCACCTAATTACAAGAAATCACACTAGCTATTAATTTTCATCCAATCAAAACTGGATGGATAGATCAATTTTTCAAATCCAGAAGATGATATACTGCAAAGTGCAATAGAAACAGAATACAGACAGTACATAACTTAATATCATAGTGGTAGTGATGGCTGGTTAGAATTCAGTATTGCAAG